GCGCGACAAAAAAACACCCCAGCCCTGCCGGGAGCCGCTAGCTTGTGGATACTGGAGGCACAAACCACAGTTACTTCACTTCCTTATATTCAGCTGAATTTAGACTGGCTGAATGGCAAAAGAATACAACTGTGCATACTAAACAGTATTTTCCCAGGCAAAAAGCAACCCAAGATAGAAAACAGGATCAGCAGAGCCCCACAATTCGGAAATGAGCCTGTCAGCAGGTGACTGCTGTTATATTCAGTCTGAAGCTGCATGTGTCTTTGATAACCATTGCATCTATTTAATATAAATTTAAAATGCACTCACTGGAGAAAGAGGATCCAGACCTAAGTAGTCCATCTATAATCTCCCTACCTCTAAAATATGTGCCATGAATTAATAACGGAGTCAGGATTTTTTTTTTAATTAGGTATTATTATAAAAGGCATCTATATTTTCTGTGTGAAATACATGCTCAGGGGAAGAAGGTAAACATGGAATTGTTTTTACTGGAGCACAAAATTTTTCTCCACCTTCTTCCACTTCCCTCTCTGATGCCAGCCTGTCACGACTAAACAGAAGTTTTAAATCAGGTATAGCTAACTACACCTCTTTCTGTGTGTTACTTTTTACAGATATATCACTTTGGCAATCATTCTTAAAGCAGCACTTCTCTTTCCCCACTCCAAAAAACCTGCTGTAACTGCACCCACTCCACTCTGTTGTTGTCCTTAAGAACTCCCAGCCCCAACAGTAGCTGACAGATCCAAGATGACCTTATGATAGCCAGCCATTGCAATATCAGCTCCAGGTCTGCATTATGTTCATAAGATACAAGATATATTAAATGTTATATTACTTATCTATTATGAGGATTATAAGAGGAGCAAATAACACATTCCTTACTTGTTTCTCAGGTCTTGAAAAATACTTTTGCTGCTCATCTATCAAGGCAAGGGCATTGCCAGCCACACAAAAGTAGGACAGGAGCGGAGCAGCCTAGGAAGTTACTACACTATTCTATCATTACACAGACATGTTGGCAGCAGGAAAACCTTCATGAATTATGCTGCTTATCATGGGTCATAAAGTCTACTAGCCCACAGTCATGCTTTAGTCCTTCTGCTCCAGTTACAGGTAACTAATTCACCTGGAAATTTATTTCTTCTGCTACTAGTTAGCATAACTGTACAATTTTGCAATTGTAAAACTACCTACTAACTTGCTGTGGCTTTCTAAAAGCTGTCTTTAGAAGCCCAATGTTTCAAGTAGTGCTGTTTTAAACTATTTAATGTAAACTAATTTTGACTACATAAAAAAATTTACACTGACTGGTAATGCTTTCTAGAGAAATATGTGAGTTAACTTAAGTTCTTGTAATTGCAACAAAGTTACTGAAGAAGTAACTGCCATCTGTCAGAACATGTGCCTTGGTGTTTGCCACTCCAAATTTTGAGATGTGGAAATGCCACCAATAGCTGCAAAACTTTCTTTACCGTAAACAACATTGTCCGGTTTTCTGCAATGTCTGTTGGCTGCACAACACTGCGTCCATAGATAAGTTGACTTTTAAGGTTCAGCGAAATTGCATCTTCTTCAAAAGACCTGACAAAGCTGTTACTCCTATGGCTTCCCTCTTGCAAATCCTTCTTAAAAGCAAAGGAACGAAGCCCAGGCTGAGAAAAGGATTTCCTAATTGGCCTATTTTCTTCCTCTTCACTGACTGAGGGCTGGAAGACAGACCGAAATTTGTTGCTGAAAGAGAAACCTCCAAAGTTATTGGCAGTTTCATGTTGTTGGGATGATGAGTTGAAATCTGATTTTTTTGTACAACTTGCATGATTAAATTTCTCTATGCATTCATCGATGAGTGCTGGAGGTGCATTTTTATGTGCTACTGTCACCCGTCCACAGAACAGCACCTCAAACTTTTTGGCAAAAGGGTCTTCAACGTCTGAGAGATTATTCTGAAACTCTTCTTGACGAGCAATTTTTCCAGCTTGTCGAATAGAACTTATAATCTCAGGCACCTACAGGAGGGAAAAAAAAAACAAACACAACATTAGCATCTAGTGCTTTATGACAAACAAGTTGCAACACTAAGAGGCGCTCCCTGCATTTTTCTGGAGTAACTAATTTGGTTTTGTTTTCTGAAAGACCACTTAAATTGATCTTGTATTTGTCCAATAGACACATTATAGAAGTTAAACACTGACTAGATGAATTGCTCATTTGTCTCCCTACCAGGAGTTCACCATTATCAACACGTTGTCAGAAGAGCTTTGTCTCTTGTAATGCTGTGTGTTTTCAGTAAAACTTTTGCACCCAAAGGAACCAGTATAATGTGATAAATTCAAACTCAAAATGAGAGATAAAAATACTTCAGAATGCATAAGAGAATCCACAGACTAATTAATTGGGAAAGTTATTTAATCTCTGTTATTTTTCACTCCCTTCTCTTACTCAGGCATTCATGTCATGTACATTAATGAAGCTCTTGAAAATTTGCTTTCAACTTCATAATAGCATATTACATTGTTATGGCAGTTTGGTTTTTGTTTTGTTTTTTTTTTTTTTTTAACTGTAAGTAGCTGTGTTTTTTAAAGAAACAGATTTATTATTTTAGATGTTCATTTTTATTCTACCATCCTAGATGACACTCAAATAATATTACTTCCACATACAGCATCACTTGCAGGGCATTTGTATGAGAGAGCAGTCTGCTACAGCCCACAGATGTTGTAATTATAAACAACCCAAACTGCCATCTGATATATTGTTAAGTAACAGTAAATGGTCACAGTTTCTGGTACAGTTATAAGGTAGGAAGACACATATGCTACCTGCTAAGCTGCTGCAAGGCCGATGCTTGGTTACATCCCACAGCCTTTGGCTGGCCTAGGAGATTAAGGTTCTTCTGCAGCATGCGCTGCTGCCATAACGACAAATGCGGGGCCACCATCTATGATTACCACCATCTATGATTCTGCCAACTTTTTAATTCTCCCGAATTACTCTGAGAAAAATCCATGCTAACTGTGCCAGTTTCCTGACAAAACAAATTTCCTCTGTCAAGCATTGGTTGGAGCTTACTTACTTACAAGTATTTAGTTGTGGATAGTACAGAAGGAAGTCTGGGAGCAGCAGACTAAAACAGCAGCCCAGGAAAGCCATCTCCCCTATAGGAAAAGGCATCCCTAAACCTAAACAATGCTTTAGAGACATGACCTCTGCCTTTTTCAGACATTTCTATGGTTATCTAATGGCTTAAGCATAATGCAGTAATGTAGAAAAAACAATGTGGGAAACAGCAAAGGACTTAGAGGGGAAAAAAAAAAAAGGTTGAACAGTGAAAACTCAATGGTTATATCCTGGGTGCTCATAAAGACCTCCGTAGGATTCTTTTTATAAACAATGAAACATAGATAGATAGATAGATAGATAGATAGATAGATATACACACACATATAGCTAGTGGATTTAAGACAATAAATAACAGATTACAAAATAAATAAATAAAACAACTCAGGAAGCATTACTTCACCCTTGAGGGCAAGACATGAGTCATCAGCTAATCACACAGCAAAGACAATGGGGGAGAGGTAAGAAAAGCAGGGTCATGACTTCAGAAGTCTGTTCTCACCTACTCAGGAACCAGTCGGAAAGCCTTGGGCTTGGGCAGTGCCATGCCTAATGTTTTAATCATATACAAGAAGAACGTAAGGGTATAACAAATCTTTATTACCTCAAACAATATGCCTTTGCTCAACAGTCAGTTCAAGGTTCACCTCAGTTTTATTTACCTAATACTCCTTTCAAAGAACCAATTTTTAGTCACATAACATCAGGATGACAGTGAAACATAAAACTTTATTCTACCCATATTTCAAGCTGCAACTGCTTTAGCATTTTCTAATAAACACATTTTATTCTTGTGGGAGTGTCTGGACTCACCAGCCATAGGCAATTTTACTCCTCAGTTGCCCAGAATACACACAGAGACCTGTGATCCCATCTCCACTTTTGCTGAGGCTGCAGAGGTGACAGCAAAGGAATGAAGTATTTCCTTGAAAACACTCATGTTGTCAAAGCCAGGAACATCAGCCCTCACCCAGGCCAACTGTGCCACCATCTCAGTCAGGCTTAAGCTCCCCCAGCACCACCCATGCTGATGACTATAAGGACAGTTTCCAGCAGTGCAGGTGCTGCAAGGGTTATAGCTGAGCTGAAGTCCAGACAAGACATTAGGGATCCGTCACAGATGTGCGGTTATTGAATTTTATTTCTTCCTTTTTCTTGTTATCAAACACCTTGGACATTGACAAAATTGCTATTCAGCAGTGGCTGGACTTTACATACAGACAGTAGTTAGAGAAAGACACTACATCACACAGAATGACTTTGCAGTAGTTAATAAACTTCAAGTTTGCGGAGACCTAGTGGGCCTGTTGATGAAAACCAAGGGAAGTATTTATTTATTTATTTTCACACATGCTAAGGCTTGAATTATGTCATTTATAAGTAACAGCTGGCTTCTGTGCTACACTTACTGAAAAACACTGACTCCTCTATTCCTGCTTATTAACCTAAAAAAATTAACAGCCTGTTAATACCATTTTATTACTTCTGATTAGGCAATTGATGCAGTATTGCTCTAGCAGAAGCAGCAAATCACCACCTCACTTTCCTATGACCCTTACGTATGTTAAACATTGATCTCTTTTCATTAGTAAAGACAAGAGGCCACGATGAATGAGGAAAAAAGCAAAATACATATTTCCCTGGAACTATCCTTGGTGTGATCAAGATTTGCGCTCTTTTCATCTACCTGTACTGTTCCAGGCCTTCTATGCAAGTATCTAACAATGAAGAATCCACATGCTCCTGTGTGTCCTCTGACCCTAGCTCCCTCAGCAAACAGGCCTGGATGCTGAGTACATGAAGATCAAGTAAACATTAGTTAAGAAAAAAAAAAGAGAGAGAGAGAAAGAAAAAAAAAATCTGTGAAATGTAAATAAATAAATATATTTCTAATTATTTCAAATTATTAAAATAAACAATGTAGGCTCTATCCTGGCAAATGTTTATTAACCACAGCTGGAGTTTTTCCAGATTAAGAAGTATGCCACTGGGCCAACAGTAACCACATCTCTTGCAAACCTCCAGCAATTAATTAAGATGCAAACTGAATCAGGTTTTATGGCTCTTCAATTTGTATCAAAAACCAGCAAGGATCACGTTGCTCCTGAATTAAGTTAATGTTGCTTGGAGTTTTTTTAAAGGTTGTGGGGTTCTTTCTGTACATAAGAAAAAGTCTTTTTAATTGTAAGGGTGGCCATGTGCTGGCACAGGTTGCCCAGAGAGGTTGCAGAGTCTCCATCCTTGCAGATACATAAACTCTTGACTGGACACAGCCCTGAGCAACCTGCTCTAGGTGACCCTGCTTTGAGCACAGGGCTGAACTAGATGACCTCCAGAGGTCCCACCCTATCTCAGCTTGGTGATTTAGATACCAATATCTTCTATACAGACCTACAGGTAATTGTGTCTACTAATCTGAACTTCCTAAGGCAGTGGGGGAGGACTGCTGCACACATGTATGATTTCTTTGTGCTGCACAAATTCTCTTTTCTAGCATACTTCTATTCTTAAGTGTTTTCTGACTTGTTTCTCAGTATAAATATGTAATTAGTGGATAAAGATCATTTCTGTAATCAGAAAAACAACTGCTGATGACCTAAAATTATTTCCCTAAACCCACAAAACTATGTATAGAACAACAGTGTAAGCAACGATGAAACTTCACCAAACACAGAACATTACCTTCTCATCACTCACTCTGGGCCAAACAGGACTGGTAAACAGAAGACACAACTGAAATGTATTAGGAAAGGTTTTTGTATTTAGAGCATCTGAATTAGATACAGAAAAAGATGATGTATCTAAAACCGTTAAAATTTAACACTGGACTGTTGTGATTTTTTTTTTTTTTTTTTTAAGTACACCGTGTTATTTCTCCTATGATGAGAATGTCTATTTTGCAGAGACAAAGCAGGGAATTGAAATGCTGAGTACTCTTGTGACTGGACTTCCGGGTAATCAAGCAAAACACAAACCAACACCTAGAACTTCCTAATGCACATTAGTCTGTTACTAGACAAACAGCTACAGCTTCTACACCATGCACCAAATCATGAGAGAAGGCAATAATTTTTAAGCATGCACAGGTTTGCTGCATCTGAAGAACAAGGAACAGCTCTTTCCCCTTACAGAAAGAGAAACTGCAGTTGCATTTTCTTCCCCATGCAACCAGAAGTCACCCTGTAAGTTTACACACAAAGCATGCAGTAAGATGTCAATGTCTTTAGCCTGTCAGTGGATCTGAGAAAGAGTGAGAAACTATTTTAATGAAAAAAGACCAGTAACAGCTGAATGCAACAGCTGCCTTTTGGTAAACAAAGACCAGACTAAAAAAAGATTCCCTGTTTCCTTAATACACAGTAGGTAGGAAAGCAAAATGTACCACAGAAAAAGAACTGTTAACACATCAACCAGCCAGCACTAGGGGAAAAAAAAAAAAGTGGGATGATTTATGATTTTAGATGCTACGCAGTGTTTACACCTACAGTACAAACCTACCAGTTTATACCTACTAGTCCCTTCATAAGGCTTCAGGTCAGTGAAGGCCTCCAGCACAGGCTTAACTATTTCAAGGGAGTAGGTGGTTTTGTTTAATATAAGACAGACCTGTGTTGTCAGGAGCTGGTCTTATACAAGAGACTCCATGAATTCTTGGAGACTGAAAACCATTAGGGTAAGATCTTGAGTTGAACCTCAGAAGGTCTCACACCACCCTGGCTGGAATAGAGAGCTAAAAATCTCTCAAAGCTCTTGAAACAAGTAGACGTTTTGATTAAGTGAGTTTTGTCTGCCTACTCAAGTATGAAAGGACATCTGAATTAATTTTAAGTGTTTTTACTTGCCTTTTTTTCTGACCATAGCAGGCTCAATAAAATACATCAAGAAGTCT